AGAAAAACTCGCGTTTTGCTGTGCTTTGATACGCCGTAAACACCCTTCAAGCCAAGATCGAATAGTTTGCTTCGCCACTTCCTCCTCGATTATGTATTCCAGTTCCTCGCGGTGCAGCAGTTCTTCCAGCTGTAGCGACTTCCGTATATCCACACTTCGATAGGACAACATACTGCAATATACGCCTTCTTATTCTAGTTTTAGATGGTTCAAAGCAGATGTTAATAGTTTGACAGGCCGGTGCACTAGAGATATTTGCTGTGAAGCGGCTCTGTTTTTTTGAGCAGGTACTTTTGGCTGAAAAATAGAAATACGCACCAAATTTGGATTCGTTATTATCATTTTTCTCTTCAGGATGTTAAAATGTTATTGTGGAAAATCCGCGAAAAAACCGGAAAAGAAGAAGCAGCTAAGAAGAAAAAAATGTATTTTGCCTATGGGAAGCAGCCAAGAAAAGAAAGATGTATTCTACTTTGAAGTGCAAATACAAAGTACATTTGCTGCCAGGCTGATCCTTGAGCATAGGCCGATGGTGTACAAAGATGCAAATCGCGTCCGGATGTAAAAAAAAAGTGGTTCGATTTCTTCCCAGTGTACAACCATTTTCAAAAAGGAGCTCCGTTCATGAACGACGACATGCAAAAACTGTTAGCGCCGAACTGCATCGTGCGTGGGATGTAGCCGACAGGGCCTTTTATTCGGATTGATTTCTTTCTATTGCCGTAAGGAAATGTACTAACTTGAGGACATCGTGGAAGGAGATATCGTCGCCATTATGCAGCCGGACCATTTCATAGCACATATGTTTAAAAAGCAGGCGGTCCCGGTTTGGATCAACTTCTAACCGGCCCTTTAACAGGCGCAACAAAAATTTCACTCGTCGAACAGGAATTGTGCGCTGAAAAATCAAAAATGCGCAAAAAAGTGGTTCATAAAACAAATTCACAAATTCAATTGAAAAAAATAGCCCGCTGACCTTTTGTTCCACGTCTACGATGTTCCATACTTGCTGAAAGTTTCGAATATCCGCATAACTTAGTAAAGCATCTTCCTCGCTTGAGTAAAACAGTGAGAAGTTCTCGATGATAACCGCTGCAGTGGCTATTTTTTAGTATCCATAATTCGAAGGATTTGAATTATTAATATTTAAGTTATTCTACATCAAGTCTCGAACACCGACAGTCTGGACGGTCTTGGTACCCCTGGCGTAATCTAGCATTTCAGTTGAAGTTAGGCAATTTTGCATTGGTCTTTGTCATTTTTTTGCTATCCTCTGATGTCCAGAAGAGAAGATCAATGTCTTTTGGCTCAGCCACAGCTCAATTTCTTACTTTTTTTCCCAGATGTGCGCTTTTGCTCACAACAATTTTCAGCCTGTCTTGGTGCTTTTTGTGTTTCTTATTAGCGATGATCGGACAGGTCTTGAAGTTGTTATTATCGCCCTTTCCTCCCAATCCGTTTCCGAGGACGTTAGTCTGTGGCACTTCGGAAAGCGAGTCACATTATGTACAAAACATTTTGTCAATAATTAGTATTAAAGAAAGCTGAAATTTTCAGTCAACTATTAAAGAAAAGAAGAACATGACATCATCGCTGAGGACAGAATGAACTTATGACGTAATGACTAAGTAGGCACCAAAAACATACCCACAAGAAGATTAAGGACGATATAAGTGATAATGAGGTAGAATGAGCAGAAATAAATGATCGCTCCAAAGTAATTACCACAGTCGGTTTGCCAAAAACTAACTCCTTTCTCCCAATAGCACAGTGGCGGACTGCGCTGAAATCATCCATAGGTCCTATTAACTAATGGTAATGTTCTGATGTGGGAATCGAAAAGTCGGGAGTAGCTAAGGATGATTATATTGTGTCGATAGTAACTGCAGTAATAATTATGATAACAATGATAAGAATGGTAACGGCAACAATAATAATAATAATAATAATAATAATAATAATAATAATAATAATAAT